TTAGCTCAGTCTGTCACTATTGTGTCGCTCAATAGATTATGACTGTAGGATAAGAGGAGGTTGCTGATTGGTTTGTTTTGCGGTATTTTAAAGGTTAGAAAAGTAAATATGTGCGCATGAGTAGATTGATAAGAAAGTATGGTTTTGTTTGGATGCTCAGTTCAACCATGATTTTTCATCATGATCATTTATTTCAGAGCCACTGGAGCACAGTAACATTGTTTACGCATTGTAACTGTATGAGCACAGTTTGACCACTCTCATTGTACAAAAAATGGTTAAATTAAAGCATGAGGCAAAAGAGTTGTTAGGTGTTATGTAAATACATGAGTAAATGTAAAATGTAAAAATCTTTTTATAATCCATTTAAAATGCATTAATTTATTTATGATTTAAAGACAAAATAATGAAGTGGAATTATTAATTGTAAAGGTAGTTTTAATGTTTTTTTATTAATTGTTTTTTAATTGCATCATTTAAATGCAAATTGAATTAATCACTTAATAATCTGTTTCAATGTATCAATTAATTAATCAATTATAATTAAGCACTGAAAAAGTCTGTAATGATTTCAGTGGCACACTTAAGCCTCTATACAAATTGGCCCCAAGGGAACATAAAAGATATATTGAATCATACTGAATGGAATTAACCTTGGCAATTCGAAGCACTAATGTCTTACAGTCAGCTTTAACACCGGGAGGTTACAAGTCTCTTTTCAGTCACTGTCACAACATATGGCAGCTGTTATCAGACACAAAGGTGGCACTGAACAGGACTTTCCATTTTTTTCTGGTCACTGAGAAAAGAGAGAACTAAAATAATAAATAATGTGTATGTATGTCTGTGCATGCACCTTGTGCGTGGGGGGTGTCAACGTTCATGCATTTACTGCAAATCAGCCTCAGCAGCTGGTTTCAATAGAACATTGTAAAAGCAAAAGGAGCATTTTTATTCGCTTTTTAAAACTCTAACTGATGCATGTAACCTGTCTGTAGCCACTAGTCATTTAATTGATTAAATGGTTTCATTAAAACTAATTGAATTTGATTTATCACAATTTATTTTTCTTTTAAGATATACTGATATCCAAATGCTAACATGTAAATATATATTATTCAGTTGGCTTTTACAGATAAGTCATGTGCTTATTTGCCTGTACTGCATATTATAAAGTATCATGTTTGATATTGTGTTGTTAAATAAACAATATAAATTATTGTTATATGTAGTTAAAACTATGTTATTAATGACTAAGGTTATGAATAACTGCTTGAATAAAAACTAAACAATAATGTAATCATTTGTCAGCAAGGCAAGCCAATAAAAGATGAAGCTATGACTTTAATTTTTCTGTGACTGCATGCATGGCGAAAGCAATTTCTACTCCCAGCTGAGCTGAACACAGCCTCAGTGCCTCAGACATGTCAAATTCACAACTTCTACCACCCAGCTTCCACTCTCACTCTCTCCTTTTAACTCCTGCTTTTTAATATCACTTTCACTTTTGCTATCTTCACAAATCTTTTAACGCAACCTCTCTCACTTTCTCGCGCACACACTCTCACTGTCTCATTTCCTCACACACCCAGCAATCTTTTCAAAATCACTTCCTTGATTCACATCTTTGCCCTCCCCATTTATGAGCACTTTATTGAGAAGCAGAGAGGTGGCAGAAAAACAGACATAATTGCCTAGGGTGGTAAGTTATTGGAAAATGGATGAATTGCTTTCTTCAGGGAAGAGCTGTGAGAGTGTCAGGTATAAAGAAGGCTCCTTAATAACACTGAAGGTCAGGTGCAGGGGTGTTGGGGAGTGATTTCTTTATGCTGCAGCAGTATGTGGGATGAATAAAGACGTATAGTATTTTTCTCTCTCCCTTTCTGCATATGCAATTTATCAGTGTGCGCTTTTGAGGGCACGTGTGTTTGTATGTATGGTGCACGTGGGTGTGTGTTAGGGAAGGGGATTGGTACTGCTGATATTGTTATTCTTTGCCAGCTGAGCTTGGGTGACTAAGGTTAGAGCTCCTTTTGATAGGGTCATTCAAGTTCATCTTCATGGTGACACTCAGACACACACAAGGTGGTTCAGTTACGTTAAATGAGGACGGATATAGAAAACAAAAGAATATCATTGGGCGCGGCACACATAGTCAGCTTAATAACAGCATCAGTCTATAGTTTAGAGTTTAGTCTGTGTGTGTACACCGATCAGCCATACCATTATTA